CAGAGTGCCTCTTTCTGATTTAGCTTAGGTTTCTTTGACAATGATGTAAGCTAAACTGAGAGTCACTTTTATTCCATAATAAGAGCATCCAGGTACACCACTGTAACTCTAGGGCTACGTCTACACTGGCAGCTGCTTGCGCAAGAACTGTTTTGCAGAAGAGTTCTTGCGCAAAAAGCCTTCCACAAGAGCGTGTCTACACTAGCATGTGCTTTTGCACAAGAGCATCCATGGCAGTGTGGATGCTCTCTTGTGCAAGAAAGCTCTGATGGCTATTTTAACAATAAGGGCTTCTTGTGCAAGAAATTCATGTTGCCTGTCTACACTGCCCTCTTGTGGAAGAGCTCTTGTGCAAGAGGGCTTATTCCTCATGGGGAGAGGAATAACACTTCCGCAAGAAGCCCTGTTTTCCAATGCTTTGCTGTAAATTTACTTGCTCAAGAATGCGCGTGCATTGTAGATCCTCTACAAGTTTTTGCTGTTCTTGCGCAAAAAGCCTGCAATAATACCAGTATAGTTTCTTGTGCAGGTGACAAACTTTACATTTATTGAGGAGGGATTGAGGTCTATTACAGGACTAGATCAGGAAATCTACACCTGGTTCTGCTGACTTCCTCTGTGACCTGGGCAATCACTTAGCCAGTCTTTTCTATTTCACAGACATGCTGGTTAAAATTTATAACATCTGAGAAATTCTCTCCTGGAAAATGCAGTAGTGCAACTATTTCTTGTGTGTTATTGTTAAGCATAAATACTGCAAAGAGACTGTCTGCTCAAGGTTTAATATTATGTTCCTAGGATAACACATAGATTTTCTTAATTTTTGTATCCCATAATACATATATTATTTGTATGGCATGGGGCCATTCCATGTAACATACTTGTCATACTTTGAACTAATTCTCCTTGTATCAGTGGATTTACTTGTTACTATATACACTAGCATGGGAGACGAATTGTTGAGAAAGGAACAATGGGATATTGTAGCATCACAGCAATTAATGTCCTTCCATCTGCCTTTGCTCTCTGCCAAACAAGTGCCAGATCCCTTGCCCAGTTACTTACATTTCCTGTCCCTACATGTACTGTCCACATAGTCTTCTGCCTGTCTTGTTTCACCCACGGCCTTACAAAATTTGGGGATTGTTCTTGGTAGAACATAAACATCTAACACTAGTTCATAGTATGGGAATAAAAATCATGTTGTTCAATGTAATATGTAGTTTTTCTGAACAGATGCTTAGTTATTTTTGCTAATGATTATAACGTCTGGCAGACAGCAATATGTAAATTAGGACTTAAGGAAGTAACAAAGCTAAGGAGAAAGAAGTTTCCCACCAAGTAACTAAAATATGACAAAATAGCTTATGGGGTGGCTGATTCTGTGAAATCGAAAACCTGTTTGCTCACTGGAGCATTTTATGGACTTGTGGGGTTTTTTGGTTTTGTTATGTCCAACCCTGTATGCCCATCCCATGGCTTTTTGTGTTGGAGTCTAGAACAGAGCTGGGTTGGCAATAATTTGAGCAAAAATTGTTGTGCAAATCTATGCAGAATATTCAACCAATTATTTATCACATTTCACATTGCCATAAATTGTTTATTTTTGCAGACATTATGGGAGATTGACAATTATTAATTGCAAAACCTGTGAAAATTTAAAAATACCCATGTGAATTTTGAAAAGGCTTGCAGAGGTGTCCTGCAAAGGACGCAAAGGGACAACATTTTCCAAAGAACTTAAACGGTAATAGGAGCCAAGTTTCATTTTCAAAAACCACTCGGACCTCAGAGCCTAAATCTTACTGAGTCAATGGGGCTTAGGCTTCAAAATCACTGAGTTATTTTTAAAATGGGACTTGGGCTCCTATATCATTTAGGTGCTTTTGAAAATCTTACCAATGGCAAGTTATATGAAGCCTAAGGGTTGAAGACGGGGGCCCTGAGATGTACTCCCTCAATGCTACTAAATGCCATCAATACTTTGCGATTACATGGCACTATTAAACTAGCGCTTAGATAAATATTGTTGTTCATACTTTACTGATAGAGAGATTGAAAGTCAGACTTTAGGCACATTTTCAAAAGCACGTCACTGACTTACAATGCTACACCTCATCTTTAGATTTTACTTAGGAAGTTATGAATCTCACTGAAAGAAAATGGGACTCAGGCCTTGTGGTAAAAATGTTTTAACTTTATTTTTTCCCTATCATTATATGGATCAAACAAAACCATAAGAGCCCATCCCCATTGCTTTGCCTAAAACAGCATAAGCTACTTCTCTTGCGAATCATACCATCCAGGCAACATTACTCCTTTTCAGAATAGGCACATAGCATTTTGGGCAGGGATCCCAAGGTACAATATTCTGCTAGGCTCACCCATGAAAGCTCATGATATCATCTTCATTTTTTATTAGTCTCTAAGGGTACATCTAAACTACATGGCTCCGTCGACGGAGCCATGTAGATTTGTTGTTTTGGCAAAGGCAAATGAAGCCGCGATTTAAATGATCGCGGCTTCATTTAAATTTACATGGCTGCCACGCTGAGCTGACAAACAGCTGATCAGGTGCTTCCCACGAGGAATAACGGGGCTGCCGACAAAGGGCTTTGATGTCGGCAGGGGAGCGTCCAGACTAGCGCACTGAGCGGACAAACAGCTGATCAGCTGTTTGTTTCAACTTAAGAAGAAACCTACAGTCCCTATCTTGTACGTAACCCGGGGACTGCCTGTAGTGTAAAAACGTAAACAAATGGTCCTGTAGCACCTTAGAGACTCACAAAAACTGTAGTCTCTAAGGTGCTGCAGGACCATTTGTTGTTTTTTTAGGTATTTTTCAGTTAGGGTACATCTATACAGCATCAGAAGCAGGAAAAAGCCTGCTCAACAGCCAGCGGGGGCCACTTGACCCTCAAAATGCTAAAGGAGCACTCCAAGACCATTAGGTCGTTGGAGAAACTAAATGAATTCTTCGCTTTCGTCTTCCAGCAAGCCCTTTATTTTGAAAGAACAGACTTGTTGCTAAGAAGCGGAAAACGCTATTTCAGGATACCAGACGTATCCTGAAATAGTGCCACTGTCTAGATGTACCCTTACAGACTAACATGCCTACCCCTCTGAAACGTTAGGCTCAGTGTGTTATAGGCTGTTTATTGCAGTGAACTCTGGACCATTTGTTGGAATTGACTGGAATTCTGGGACCTGAAGTCAAACTTATGATCCTGTCCACAGTATCTCACAATTCATTGGTTCAGTGTGAAACAAATTTTCATACTGCTGCAAGGCTGCATAGAGGAAAAATTATTGAGTGCTTTCACACTCTGCCTTTAGTAGCAGGACCAGAATAAAACCTACATTTCACCCTTCTATTCCAGGGCAGTGGGCACCACTCCCACCCTTTCATTCAAATTACACCTGAAAAAAAAATCTCTTGCTACCGAGCCTTTCCCAGAGCCACAAGATAGCAGCAGCAATGAGGAATGCCTTGCCTAGCCCAGGATTTAAAGATGTGACATTAGACCAAGTGACAAGAGTAGCTAGCTCAATCAATTTAATGTGTTCTAAAACTCTAGCCAAAAAAAAGCAGTTGTACTTTAGAATGTGATAAACTGGTCAAATTACCTTGGGGAAATTTTGGCTTTAGTTCAAATCCAACATCACACTTTTAAATCCTAGGGCTTGTTTACACTTAAGGCACATCTACATCACCAGGATGACCGATGCTGCAGCGGTCAATCTTCCGGCATTAGATTTAGCGGTTCTAGTGGGGATACACAAAATCAAATGCTGAGGGCACCTCTGTCAACGCCAGCACTCCTTGCTGTCTTGAAGGGTAAAGGAAGCTGTCAGGAGCATTTCTCCCTCCAACCTTTCACAGTGAAGATGCTGCCCTAGCTTGGCTTAAGGTATGTTATTTACGTGGCTGGAATTGTGCACCTTAAGTCAAGCTTACCCCATAGTGTAGACCTGCGCAGTTGCACCACTGTAACACTTCAGTGTAGACATTACCTATGTCAACAGGTGGATTTTACTGCTGGCATATGTTCTCTGAGATGTGATAGTGCTGTCTACAAAGGGACTTAGGTCAGCTTAACTGGGCTGCTCAGCTACTGCTGGCATATGTTCTCTGAGATGCTGTTTACAAAGGGACTTAGGTCAGCTTAACTGGGCTGCTCAGGGGTGTGAATTTTTCATTGCCATAGTTAAACCAACCTAATTTTCTAGTGTTGACCAGACCCTAGTCTGGACAAGACCCAAGATGAGAACATGATGGGCACAACTCACCACTGTCCTGCACCTTCTGTAGTCATTTTCAACAGTGCACAGTGAGTGCAAACACTCGCACTGTTTGTAAACATTTTCATTTTCACTCTTGTAAATTACTACAGAGAACTGACTGATCAGGCCCAGACATTCCAAATATATTTGAATAGTGGAAAGAAAGTACAGAAAGAGAGGACTATTCAGATTGATAAAGGGATTATAAATAGGGGGAATGGGAAAAATGCCTCAATAGATGCTTGGCTCTACCATAGTATCAAGAGACCCATTAGCTCAATCAGATCAACTCCCTGCCCGTGCAGGATTTGTTCCCTACAATACATGCTTTGTCTAAACTAAACTGAAAAGGCCCAAGCAATTTTGTTTCCAATGACTCCCTTAAGACACTACTTCATAATCCAGCATCTGAATCAAAAAGAGTTTACTGATGTTCAGCCTCAAATTTTCCCCTTGATAATTCATCCATCACCCAAGTTCTGATTCCACACTGAGAGCTGAATCTGGGATCTCCAGTGTTAATAAGCATGAACTTCTATCACTTGAGCTAAAGGAGTGGCAGATGTAGTAGTAGACTAATGTCCTCTGGATCAGCCACTAGAGAGGGATACATAACCCAGTGAACAAAGTAATGAAGCACGAAGAGCTGCTGTAAATAAAACATCCTCCACTCCAAGTAACTCCAAGCAACACTTCCAATAGTTTCCCAGCTAAAAAGAACACAAACACATTTGGATTGCTAAACTTCATTTTTTATTTAAATAAACAATTTAAAAGAGAAAAAACTAAAAAGCTTTACACTGCAATTTTTTTGCATAACTGTAATAAAGCAAACTATGCAAATAAAACTTTAGGCACAGTATTCTCTAATAATTATATGCAATTCAACTTTGTATTATTCCTGAGTATCCATTTCTCTGACCCTAGAGAAAAGGACACAGGCTGAGAACATTTTCCTATCAGCCTTTCCTCTTAGGTCAATTGATTAAGGCTGGTTTCTGAGAACATGGGATTTTCCTCTTAGTTTTTCTGGAATATCAAGGAATACAGCAAGGGTATACAAGAAGCCATAAAACTTTCTGAGAGAATGGGATATATTTATGGCCTTTGTTGACTTTTGGGGTACGTATGTTTGAGGTCCGTTGGCTTCATGTGTGTCAACTTGGTACTGCTAGTGTGCCCATAATTTCTTGAATAAGTGGAAAGATGGGCAACCAGAATCTCAGACATGATAATAGAAATATCTGGTATATTCCATTGTATGTTGTCTTATCCCCTTTTAAATTGCATGTAATCTCTGAATAATCAGAACACATACTATGAAATACCCCATATTTTAGAAGGCACAATGCAGCCACTGAATAACTTATAATGCATTGTTACAGCAATTAGATACTTCATTGCTTATCTAAAATTTAAGTCAAGGGAAATTCAGGATGATATTTTGAAAGCAACATTACTACTAATTAGGTTGCAAACACACATTCAGATAAATAACTGCTATACCAAATTTTAAAACCAAAGCTTTTGCAGCTTGCTAGAAGAGAGCAACCTGTATTCCCTTTGCTCACAGAGGAAAAAAAATCAAATTATTTTGGTTATAAACCCAATGTATTTCTTAATTGTGTTAAAATATGCATACATATATTCTTTTATAACAAGATATTTTTAAAAACATATGTACAAGAAAATCCCTATTTAAACATATATCAAATGCAGATTGTATAACCTCCTCTCAAAATCCCCATAGTGGCCCCCAATGCATTTTTTTTAAAGGAAAAAAACCCTAACCCATAGGGCAACAAAACCACACAAATGACAGCAGACTTCCACTGATAAGGAAAAGCACAGGCAAGAAAACATTTAGCTTTGAACTTCCTGGCTTACATTAGAACTAGGGCTGTCAATTGACCTATGTTAATGCCTGCACGTAGGACAGGATTAACGAGTTACAAAAATTAACACGTTAATCACAGGTGTTAATGCTGCGCTGCCTCTTTTAATTGCCGCTCCAGCACTTCAAAGGGGCAGTGCAAGCAGAGACAGGGATCAGCTGGAGTGCCCAGCTGATCTCAGGCTCCATCCAGCACTGCCCCCATTGAAAAGCCGCCGCAGCATTTCAAAGGGGAGTTGTGCACGATTAATTGCAATTACAGTTTTTAATTGTGTGATTAATCACGATTAAAACTGTTAATAATTTGACAGCCCTAATTAGAACTATACTGCCTCTTGCCGAATGCCATGTAGGTAACAGCTGAAACTGAGCCCTGTGCTAAGTGGGCAGCACCAACCTCATGCACCACCTCATGTAAGTCCTAAGTAAGCACAAACTGAAACAAACAGAAACTTAGAGGGGTAAATGTCTCTTGCTCTGAAGAATGAAGGCCCATTGACTCTCCTGAGGACCACACCAAGGAGCAGCTTGGGAAAAACCTCCATGTAGGAAACCCTGGAGATAGTGAGCTTCTTCAAACTGCATCTGATAGCTGTTTATTTTTCTCCTCAGTGTAATCACCTTGTAGCAGTGGGCTCTAGCCCTGTAGTTGCAAATATTTTTTTTCTCCAGTTCCTACTGGAGGATTTTGGAGTAATTTAAATATGGATGATATCCTATATTTAAACCATTTTTGTTAGAGACTGAATACCTGAATTAAATGAGATTGGGTGATGTACTGGAGAAAGTTGTCCTGTTTCTTATTTACATAGGTAGGTACTGTTGTTACTTAAAACAACTAAGCACATTACTTTGAGAGAATACCTGTCTCCAGGGCCCATTTTAAACATACACAGTGTGTGTGCATACACAACTGTGCAGGGTTAGTTTATTAAGGTAATTTGAACAGCTTCTAGTATTGTTTCCTTTAACAATTGCGGCAGCAACTCAAGTTTCATTTAAAATCATTCTGTAAGGCATTGGTGCAACAAGGTAGTGATTGAAGAGGCAATTTTATGACTTCTATTACAACTGTTTAAAAACACTCCCACATCACAGTTAGCCATAAACAGCAATCAATAAGCATTATAAAAGCCCCAAACTGAAGAAGACAGTTTAGTGATGAAATTTAGATTACACTCCAGCTCCCACATGAGTTTTTTAATGACTTGTTGGCTCATGTCTGTTCTAAACATGTATTTTTCCTTAATGTACTACTGTACTGAATATCTCCTATGAACAAGAAACATTCAGATTACATCAGGAGAATCTGCATTATGCTTTACAGATTGTTAACAGACAGGAACACAGACTGAGTCATCCACTGTACATATCTATTTAAAATTTAAAGACTAAGAAAAGAATATACATAAAATATACACTTAAAACACAAAGTAAAATCCTTCTCAGTGTCTAAGACAACATTTGATATTCCAGAGGGTTACACATTACCTCTGTTCACATTCCATGCATGGAGCTATTCCCATGCCAGTCCCCGCATCAGTAATAGACTCACTGAAAAATGAATTAGTTCTTCATATATGTGCAGCAGAAATCGAGAAACCTCAGCCCTAGTCATCACTGTCACTCCCAGACTCACTCAACTGCAAGTCATTTCCTATTGGGGGGAAAAAACAACAAAAACCACCAGGCCAGAAGTTAATTCATACTTGGATTATATCCACATTGAAAAATTACTGTATTTAAACAGGAGATTTAAATCAGATTTAAAACAGAAATCAGCAGTTTGTCTAATGTAATAATTCACCATATTCAAGAACATTAAAGTTTTCACAGAGTTTATTGAAGACCAATCCAGGCAAAGAAGAGTCTCCTTGACTCCACAATCATAAAAGGTACTACGGGTTGAAACTCTCTAGTCCGGCATCCCAGGGTCCTGACTGGTGCCAAAGCACAGAATTTGCCAGGGCACAGGAGGTCAATTTGTCTAGCAGCATTAACAACACTTCCACTGCTTAGGGGGCTATTAGAAGACATTTAAGGGTAAATTAGAGCTAAACAACAGCAAAGAACACTGAGAGCCAAGCCTGGTGGCTGTAAACAAATTGTATGGGATGGCAGGAAACATGGCCACAGGAGAAGTTGACATCCGGCTAACTAAAATCATGTAGACCACGGATATTGCTGGATCCAGCGAGTGCCGGACTAGGGAGGTTCAACCTGTAGTCCCTGTTCAGAAAGAAGCATTCCCCTTAGCAGCAGCTGTGGAATTCCACCCAGCCAAACTGCCATTTATGGCTTTTGGGCAGGACACTAGAGAAGTCCCTGGCTCCATCTACATTATTAAAATAACCCCTTCAAAAGGCAGTAGTTTCAGTTGTAAAGAAGGGGCTGTTCTTGGGGCAGTTCTATAGCCTGGGTCATTCAGCATATCAGGCTATTTGATCACACTGCTCCCTTCAGGCCTGTGGCTAAAACAAGAAAGAATATTAAAGTACCATGAGCTCAAGTATTGGGCTGAGCCTATTTGAGAGCTCTGCTTCAGAAGTCAGTGAGGAAGGGGAAACCAAGGGGCCATGAGGCCCACAGACAGTCACAAGCAGGGAGGCCCAGAATCCTCCACTGTCTTTGTAGTATATAGCAGAGATTCCCCAAGCCGTGGAGTATGCTGCTCCTAGGGGTGCAAAGAAACATTTGGGGAGGGCACAGCTGGGCCCAGGTCAGCCTCCATGGGGGATGGGGAAGAAGTGATACCCAGCTCCGCTCTGCCCTAAGGATGTTAAGTAACCGTTAACTGACTAGTCGATGGAATTTCCATTGACTAGTCGATAGGCACTTCTGCATTCCTCCTCTGAAATGCACATAGCCGCCACTGACCCTGGGGCTCCATGCTGTGCTGCCAATTTGAAATGCCATGCAGAGTTGGGCTGCTGGCCAACCTGCTAACAAATTTACTGGTGGAGGAGGAAGGGGGGGCAGGGAAATGCATGTAGTCGATTGCATTAACCAATAAGCTTTTGCTTATCGGTTATTCGACTACACTATTACACCTTATTTCACACTATAGCAGGCTTTCCCCTGAACAGGTGGTCTCCATCTTACAGAAATATCCATGGATGCATGTTGGATCCAGACTTTGAAATTCAAGCACATTCTAAGCATAATAAATCTGAACTCCTAAATAAGGGCCTATTCAAAGCCCACTAAGTCAGTGGAAAGATTCCTACTAACTTCAATGTGCTTAAGTTTGGTCTTTATCTGTATCCACATCTGCGGATGCGGATACCTGCCGATATCTGTGGATTTTCAGGAGTCTACTAATTAGCTAACTTCACATTTCTCTCTATATACTCGATTAATCAAGGATGATTAGCAGTACCAGATTTTCAATGGACATTCTACACTGCACTGATAATATTTGAGAGTTCTTACACACTTGACCCTCTTCCACCCAGCAACCTTGGAAAACAGGGTATGCCAGATTCAAGAATCTGCTGGACCAAGGAGAGCACACGGAGTCTGGGCATGAGAGGAATGCAGCGGGGGTGCCTACCTGCTGCTCCCAGGCACCACCGCCTGCTGCCGTGGTAGTGGTGGGGGAAAAGCCTCAGGGATAGTTTGTCGTTACACTACCGTTCCCACAGCTGAGGGAGGAAGAGGGCGTGACTGCACACAGAGGTGTTCCCTGATTAGGGACACTCAGAGTATGGAGGTTCATCTATCTTCTATCTATCTATATGGTAGTGTGCATCTGTCTGTGAGTTCGTCTCTCTGTGCATCTGTCAGTCGGTTTGTTCAAGAACTCCTCCTAAATGGTGAGAGGTAGGACCACCACATTTGGCAGGCAGCTTCCTCTTACCCAAAGTCAGGGTTTGTTTGTGCCTGGAAAATGGGAAGTGTTGGGAATGAGACTGTTTTCGATAACATGGAAAGGGAGGGGCAGAGAGCAAAGGGACGCGAAAGAGAGGGGCACCGAGAAGTGGGACATGATACTGAAGTGGCCACTGGGGGCAGCTGCAGCACAAAGAGAGTGGGCAGCAGGGCCTGGGCTCTACCATCTTGCCCGCATCCAGGCCGGGTATGGAGCCCCCCTGTCCCGAACCTGGAGCCTGACCCCTCGTGGAGAGCCTGCAGCTGCCCTGGAGCCTCAGCCACTCCCTCAGACAGTATTCAGGACATGGGGGAAGGGCATGGGAGGAGGGGCAGCCCCCAGAACGTCTCCCCTCCCCAACAGCCTGCAGTTGGGGGGAGGGGAGAAACCCCTGGAGCCTGGTTCCCACCCAGACAGCCTGCAGGCCATGGGAGGGACCTGTTGGAGGAGGGGGCAGCCCTGGAGCCTCATCCCTGCCCCCAGACAGCCTGCAGGCTGTGAGGGGGGAGGTGCAGGAGGTCAGGGGCAGCCCCCAAAGCCTAACTCACCCCCCAAGACCGCTTGTAGGCCACAGGGGGGCGTTGGAGGGGGCAGCCCCTGGAGCCTGCCCCCCTAACAGGGGGGCTGCAGCAGAGTCTCCCCCCCGAGCCTGCAGGCCTCAAGGGGCAGCCCACAGAGCCTGGGTCCCCTCCCAGACAACCTGCAGGCCACAGATGGCAGCCCAAGGAGCCTGGCCAGCCCCCAAGATGATGCCCCAAGACAGGCTGCAGGCCGAGGGGGACAGCTGGCCTCTTTACCACCCCAAAATGTAATGTTCCCACTGCTCCTGTCCAGGTAAGGACAGCAGAAGAAAATGAACCACCTCCTCAGTACCTCATTTCAACTACCTTTTAGGTACCAAAACCCAGCAACCCTATCTCACACCTGTCTGGGTTCCCCAGCTGGAGCTGGATAGTTTTTACAACACAATTTTTTCAGTACAAAAACCTGCAGTTCAACAGAAATATAGACATAGCATGAAAAACTGAATTCAGTATAAAATTAAATAATACAAGCAACCCTGTACCGATGGCATGGTTTATTTTTATATTTAATTCACCAAAACCCTCCACATTTGAATTTACCTGAATCTGCTATAGAACCATGGGCACCTAGCATACATTTTAGGTCCAGTTTGTCACACAGCATATGGAGGAACCACAGATGAGACTCAGCGATTTGACTAGCCATAATTTCCTTACCCTGGCCCATCTCCTATGGTGCACAGAAGCAGGTCTCTCTATAGTTCCTCCGCAGTCTCACATTCTTTATGCATTTAAACTGGCAGTGAAAGATGGGGCAGCTATGAGTGTGGCTGGGTACACTAATGTAGAAGGGGAAAACATTTGAGAGAAGAGTGTTGCATAATTTAGCTGTACCTCTGACCTCTCTGAATGCACCCTCTTTAGATGCTGGCCTCATCCCCTTTACCTCTTGCAGGGTGGAATCCTGATTCTCCCACCCTTATACTTGGTCTCAGGATATAGAGACAAGACAGCAGGTAACAGCCTGTGTGAGACAGGGGACACCCTGCCCGCCTGCGTCTCTCCACACTGATAGTCCCCAAGGACTCATGAGTGAACAGTACACTAGCGAGGGACACTACAGTGTAAGAGGTTTATTATCTGGTATGAGCTGTACTCTCCTACGTGGTGTATGATTAAGTAAAACAGCACAATGCTCTGTGTAGGGTGTGGATGTTAAAACCTCTTGCAACACCTTCATGCCCTTTTGAGAGCTAAACTGTAATCAGAAGCTGCACACCTCTTGGATGGCATTCTGGGAGAGGAGTATGGTGGAAAAACTGGGTTATCTCAGAGGTCAGCACTGGTCCTGGTGACCTAGAACAGATGGGCTGAGGAAGCTCCATTTTGGAGAAGGGGCAGAGAGAGTCAGGACCCAGGAAATATACCAGAGAAGGAACAGCACTGTTGCCCACTCAGATTCAGAAGTTTAAACCACCCAGGGGAATCCAGAGACACACAGAGTTGAATTCCCCTCCCAGCTCTCCCAGGGAGTGGTCACAAGGGGATGCTCACTACGTTCTGTAACACTTTCCTGCTGGTTTAATAGCTTTGCTATTAAATTAAACCAGTCAGTGTCCCAATAACCCAACACAAACATACAAGAACTACTTCAACATTGAGGCCACATGACATATTGATGGATTATTACACATTAGTACCACGTCCTTCATGCATCTATATCAACTTCTAGCTAACTGACACATATACACAGATACTTCATGAAGAGTTTTACTGTAAACGCCCAAGCCCACAATTTCAAAAGCTCAGATTTTTTTTTTCTATTAATTTGAAAAGCAATTCTTCTCCTTCCCCATGTGTATTCTACTTCTCCCTGATGGAGCTTTCCTGCACGGTCACACTGAGGACTGGCTCTGAAACCCATTGATACCGATGGGAGTCTTTTGGGTTTTGGCTTAAGCCCCTAACATCTAAGGAGCCTCTATACCTTGAAATAAATGAGAAATAAAATAGAGCTTTTTGTTAGAAGGTCTCTCTCCCCTGTATTTCAGGCTGCCTGCATGTAATTGCTTGGGGGTAGCTATTTGGTAAACTATGTTCTGCAGCTGTATCTAAGCCGTCTATGCCTTTTGGTGGTGTCACACAGGTTCCCACAGTGCCAACACACAAGCCTTTACTTACGGAGAGTGTTCATTAGCTGATTGCTTCCTTGTGGCCTGCTGGTACCATTAGCAACAGCATTTCTGTTGTTGTACTGCTGGGGTGGTGGCTGAGAGGGGGAGGTGCGTGCAGTCTCTTCACCGTCACTGCTAGAGCTTTCATCATCACTCCCAGAAGAGCTCTCAGAGTCCGATGAGCTGCTACCACTGCTGCTACTCATCTGTTCAATAATTTCAACCTCTGCTCTTAGCTCTGGAATAAGATGGCATGTGTTAGGTGAAAACATTAACGGAGAGGGAATGTTAAAATGCTACAGCTTTGTCAAGTATAATTTGCCAAGCACAATGAACAAGTCAAACTTCTCAACCACAAGGAGAGAAGGAGGGAAGGAAAACAAAAGACATACACAACTGTGCCTAAGTGCTGCAGCTGAATCTGAGAAGAGGTTTATAATCATTGGTTCTCTAAACTTCATTTCTTTCACGACCACTTATGCATTTTCTATTTTTAAAACTATTCCTCACAGTATTATTCGTTTACTTAGAGCTCATTGTGCCAGGCACTTCACAGGCAAAACAGGCATAAAATGTAAATCTCTTGGAGACAAGGTATAACAGCTGACATAATGGGTACAAATTTCAAAAGCATCCAATGGCTTAGGAGCCTAAGTACTATTGGAAAATCAGCGGGATTTAGGCTCATTTGAAAATGGTATCGGATGCCACAAAAGACAGTTACAATTAGGAGAGAAGGTGACTATAACAACAAAATTATGAACTTCTTTAGATTTGCCATGCATACATTTTAGTGGTTCCAATGGTAATATGTAAGTCATATCAGAACAGTCACATTACTTACCATGGATTAGGGATGTTAGATATCGGGTAACTGAATAGTTGTGTAACCACATCAAAACTTTGCGGTTACATGACCATTCGATACTCCGCAGGGGGGGGCTGGCAACTAATGCACTCCTGGCCGCACTCCCAGGGAGTCCCCTGCCACCTTGAGCTGCTGCCTCTTTATCAGAGGCAGCAGCGTGGAGTGGCAGCAGCCCCTGTCCGTGGGGGTCCCCACAGACAGAGGCTGTTGCTGCAGCAGGGGCCAGGAGCCCTCTGTGGACAGAGGCTGATCTGGCAGTAGCCCTTGTCTGAGCTCCCTGTGGACAGAGGCTGCTCCACTTCCCATAGACAGAGCAGTTGCTACGAAGCAGCCTCTGCCCATGGCAGGCCCAGGCCTGCCGTGGATAGTGGCTGCTTTGTGGCAGCCTCTCATGGGGCAGGGAGAGAATGCAAGTAGTCGACAAGATTAAGCAATAAGCATAAGCTTATCGGTTAATTCTGTAGTCAACTACTCATTGACATCCCTACTAGTGATTACGATTAGTCATCTGAAATTACATCACTGTTGTGTACTTTGAATATTCCACATTACTAAAAAATTGGAGCACCCACAGAACTGGCACTTCTAAGACCACCCTTTCTGTTTAAAGCATTCCCAAAATGATCTTGAATAGCTTTTTTCTATACATACAAATGTCATGATATTAAAGTCCATGATCCTGTTCCTTGCAGGATTAAGGCTAAATATTGTATCTGATTGGAAAGGAGAGGGTTCCAGCTGCCCAATGATATAACAGCCCTCCAGGGTCAGGAATGGAGATGAAAGTAATCTGCTAAACTCTAAGCCAGCACTGTACTTTGGCAATGAAATCCATTGGGTAATTATGCACCGTCTAAAAGTTTCCTTTGATCTATTTAAAATTTGTTACTTTTCATTTTCTAAGTCAGTGACATTTGAGAAAAGAAAAAACAATATTATACCTATACAGCAGATAGGGTTGCCAGGTGTCTGGTTTTGAACCGGACAGCCCAGTATTTGAGCTTTCTGTTTGGGAAACAAATTGAGAAAATATAAATGAGAAAATATAAATGTCCGGTATTTTCTAAATAAGATGTAATGTAGATTGTGATGTAATGCCAAGTGTGTCTGGTATTTTTGTTGAAACCATCTGGCAACCCTAACAGCAGAGCAATAGACTGTCTAAATCCAATTGTATTTCATGAGGGATGGGAAGGTTGTTTTTGCTATTTGGCTGCCGAAGCAAAACATACCAGTTCTGTTACCTGTAGTTCATCTGTTTGCAAAACAGCCTGTAGCTGGGTGCTGGTGCAAGATCACCCAATTATCCCCTCCCCTGTCAGCTCCTATCAAGGGGAACAGATTGGGGCTGATGAAAAGGCCTGATGCTGGCCTGAGGATTGGCAACACCTGCCAGCCTGAGCAGCCAAGGGCTATTAAGGCTGAGAAAGCCAGAAGAGAGGGGGAGACAGAGCAGTAAGGGAGGGAGCTACAGGCCTCCTAGCTGAAGACCAATTCTACCTGTAAGAGAAAAACTCTTTAAAGACTGCATACAGTTTGGCACTGGTGGTGGGACAAGCTAAGGTGAATAAAGACATGGGTGCTGCACAACCCTGAGGTCTATCTGAGGCTGATTTTGGAGGACAACTAGTGCCTGAGAAGGGTTGACTGGACTTGCACCCTGTGACACAGCCATTTCTGTTCAATCTTTTAGGTTTAAAAAAAACATGCCATCTGTTTCTGTTGGATTTACATAACGGGGATGATGACAGGAAATAATGCATCTTTCAAAAGTGATTTCTTTCTCTCTCAGTCTCTTCTCCACTTATTCTTGCAGCTCTTAGAATTTCATTTCCTGCTGGAGTTTGAGATACAGACAAGGAGCACTCCCAAATTTGGGTTCTCAATTTCTTTCCAAGTGACACGTTTCTAGAATCCCATAGCAACCTTCTGGTTTAGAAGCTCTCTTCTCAATGTTTAAACTGAGCATCTTGGGGAAATAAAGCCAAAGGAAACTAGAAATTCCAAATAGTAAATATATTTTGTGCTAACTTGATTCTGTAAATTTTCCACATGCCTCAAGTGATACTTTATATCAATGGAGCTGATATTTATAACTACTCCCTGCCACTAAAAATGAACACGGTAAACATTTGCATAGTCTCTAACTCAAAGAACTGAGTCTAATGGACAAAGAAAATGCATGTTGGGAACCAGAGGAAGGGGTTTCCCCCCATTTTCCTGTTTATCAGCCTTGTGGAAGAAGCAACTCATTGTAGAAGATTTGAATGAGGAGTTAGGGCAACTTGGCACACAGACTGGGAGAGCCCTCCAACATCGGTGTGCGGTGCTCTTCTCAAGTCAGCCAAGAACTGTAAGCCACTGTTACCCTCTGCCTGAGCAAGAGAGACTGGCCGGAGATCAGCCTGCATGGGAGTTCCCTGCCAGCAAAGTTCTTGAGATTCTGCCAGTCTTAACTTTGCTTTGCAGGTAACAAATCAGTGAACCGCTGTTCCTGAGTTCCCCATAGATCTCTCTCTGAAGTGTCCAGCCCCCATCACTGGATACTCATGGAAATTAAGTATGCTGTCTTAAGAGACGGTATGCACACCAGCTGGTTAGGCTAGCTGAGGAGTCACTCTATATTTCAGTAGAACAGTAACAAGGTGGTTTTCAATAAAACTAAAAGTAAGTCTATGAATAAAGACCAGAGACTTCCATGATACTAAGCAGAGATAATAGGAAATGGTTACAAACCAACAAAATAAAACATTCTTTCTAAGGCCTAAAATTTAATTCTAGCTAGTTATGCCTTTGCCTAAACAACTTTTTTACTTACAGCCCTTCCAGTTTCTCTTAAGATCCAACACACAGAATCAGGGGGTATGGTCCCCTAAGAAATGGATGAAAAGAGCGTTCTCGCCTCTTATGTTTATAGTGAAGTAAGCCTTTGAAATGCATTCTTTGACAAGTAAACCCAGACACAGTTCTTCCCTCCAGGTGTGTAGATGCCATGCTGTCTTCCTCATCCTCTAATCCACTGACTTTTTTCATTGGCTTACTCAGTTGGTTTACATCAGATGTAAAATGTACTCCGGCCTCACTTTGCTCAATTTACAGCTGAGACCCAAGCAAACTGACAAAACAACATTCCTTTGTCTACAACAAATTTGTTCATCAGCTCTATCCAAATTGCTTGGTCTGACTATTTTCAGAAGATACTTCTAGTACAGATCTAATACTTTACACAGTAATCATTCGTACATCATGCAATAATACTATTGACCATCATGTCAAGAGTTTTCATGCATACCTTACAAGATACTGTTTGGTTAAATATTCTGATGCCAGTATGTTGGATGGCATAAAGGGTCTGTTAGGATTACAGGGAGGCACCATGGGAGATGGTATGAGGATGATAGAAGGGAGGTGTAAGGAAGAGGTAAGGAGGCATGCAACAAGAGACAGTATTCAAGAAGGTGGCTGGAGAGGAGGTTGTATGGGCAGTTTGAACTGAATACAGTGGGCAAGAGGGAGCCAATAGAATAAATCAGAGAGTCAAGTGAATGAACTGATGGGAAAGGAAGATCGTTTGTCTGCTGAGTTTAGGATGGAATAAAAAGATGCAATGTGGATGCCAAGCGCATGAGTGAGGACAATAAACAAGACAGCAAATGATTAGAGAATGGAAGAGTGTGTTAGCCATCAGGAGGGGAAGAAAAGATGTCTTGGAGTAAACAGTGGCAAGATTTGTTGCCATCCTTGATGTGTGTGGAGAAGAACAGAAAATGGCACCAACACTGTAGCCTGGGTAATAGGGATGGGAAGGTGGAAGTGTTAGCAGCAGCAAAAGAGCACTTAGGAAAGGAGAGAAGTGGTTTGGTATGGGCTTTTTTCAAATCAATTGCTGTCTCTTGGGCTTGCAGTTTTCTTTCAGATATCTCTACTTTTTTCTCTAAACTCCACACACCCAATACTCTAAATTGTTCATCTGTGCAGGCAAGAAAATGTTGTCTTTGTGGATGTCACAACTGTTCTTATATCATTAAAATGTATCATGTAGAGTTTCTACAGGACTTTCAGGAAGCCCTACTGAATCCCAGTTGCTTCAGCCTGTCAAAGATGATGCCTGAGTCAACCACAAGACAAGGTCCAAAAGAAAAACAAAACTGGGATATTCATATCACAATTTTTACTTTCCTGTTTGTCTGCTATGTTGCTCTATCAAGACATTCTTTAGTGTAGTCATCATTATGGATGCCTTAATGTTCTGGTGCCTTTGCTTTTTTTTAAATTGTGTGATGATTACATTAATAGTCTACATGCTGTATTTAACTGTGAAAAGTCAAATGCTTATTAGCATACTTTTCATTCATTAAGATCAAACAAACAAGCCATGTTAATGCAATATTGAGGTTGAAGAGGCCTCAAGAGTCAGGAAATGCAGAATATAGTATTAAAATTAATATATTCTCTCTATGTAGCATATGTTAACATACCTTAATGAGTGCATGCCATCTGGCAAAGTTAATATGACTGAGGGAACCATAACTTTTCATATTTTGTGCATTTGATTTCTCAGATTTAGTGATTTACTTAAAAGAATAAGGGAGACAAAAACATTCTTCCTGTTCTACACAGAGAAATCAATTCAAGATTTTCTGGATTAAAATAAAATTATATTGAAGAAATCACTGGTTTCTTTATCAACAAATCTACTTCCTGGATATATTATGTACAGTGGTTAGCATAATGGGGTCCTGGTTCTTAACGGGGGCTCTTTTAGGTGCTATAATTATTAAAACTGATAATAAATCAAATCTATTTGGTTACTTCCATATCTAAGAATAGGGACTTTTTGCTCCTCTTCTTTGCTGTCAATGGCTAAAATGTATTTTAATCTGTTCCTCACACCTTTCAACAAAAATTCTGATCTAGAAGTCCCTGAAATGCACTGGGCACCTAGAATGCCCAATATCACCAGTGGGAATTGGCGCTGCTCAGCATTTGGCACTATCAGGCCATAAGTCCCCTGGCACACTAGACAGAAGTAAACAACTTGATTTTGAAAGGCTGAATTTAGAGATGGCATAAAGAAAAAATGTTTTACACTGAAATTCAGCAAATGTGATTTACAAGTACAAAAGGAGACAACAAATATGCAATTGCATTAGGTCATCTTTAGAGTAATTTTTCAAAATACAATTGCACTTTAAAGCACATTTTAAATACTAAATTCATAGTTTTCTAGCAACACATATTCCCATACTTTTCCCAGATACTGTATATCATAATTATGTCAATATTATTAAAATGTGTCTGTTGTGATTAAGCATGCTTTACAAATATGTCAACAATTTTTTCCTGTACATACCACAATACAATCATTCATTCTCTTTGCACAGTGAGATGTGATCAGGTGCAGATAAGTATTCATAATGCATGAGAGTCTCACCTGTATTCTAGTCCCCTGATGCTGAGTAAAAAGGCTGCAGGGGCATAAAAAGGCCAAGCAGGCCCGACCCCCATAACCAGATAGAAGAGTCCCCTGCTGCTAGCATTGCAAAGACAGCTCTAAAGCTGCTTCCCAAAGATCCTTATGCATGCCACAGAGGGATAGACCTGTCTTGTGTGGGGCCACGGGATGCTGTGAACTTCTAAACAGTACAGTAGCACCCAGGGCAGCCTACCATGGTGGTTATAATTTAGAGAAGCTCCCAGAGTTGTGGTACAGGGGTCCCTGCTATAAGTCGCCCCGGTATACATCCGTTCCACACTAAAGTCATTGATGTTTGTAGCAACTGATGTGTTATAAGTCCTCCCATTCTCTGCTATAAATTGTGCAAAACACTCCCCACAATTTCCTTAAATGGAAATCAGCTGCGGGAAAAAAATTCCCTGCTTTAAACTGTTTTGCTATAAATCCAAGTTTTTTTGGAACGTATCTTGGACTTATAGCGAGGACCCCCTGTAGTTACACCATGGGCATCCTAGCCCCTGAAGTATCTTATGATCAGGAGGTTGCAAAGATGGCTTAAGTCTACTTTATATCAAGCCCTCCACAATTCCTTTTTGGGTCAGGACACTTACACTTTAGATTTAAACAGCTGAAATAATGAAATACACTATTTTAAAAATCCTATGAGTGTGAAATGGACCATGAATTTGGTAGGGCCTTATGTACAATAACTATAGCAACTACATGGCAGTGTGGCTCACACAGAGCAAATGTGCTGCCTATCTAATTACTTGATGAATCTCAGATATGAAGCCTTTCTGCCAGATGAGATAGACAATCAACTTCTGTTCCTTCCAACTGTGATGGTTTTCATCTTTTGAGTTAATATTATTTTTATGGAGAAACAGTCTGAAAGAGATTAAAATATGAGTAAAGAGGGACATACCTGAGGGGGCATTTGGATGACTACATTGACAGAAAAAAAATAGATATTTCACTAAAAATCCTTAAAATGAGATATACAGATTATAAACCAGCAGTCATGTACCATCCTTTAATGCTTTAAAGCTCTTGTGTATCTTTCTAAATGAACAATTATAAACAACAGATTACAAAAATAACCCCGTCATTACCTCTCTTAATGTCATCTAGCTGAGGTTCAGGTGAAGGGTTGTCTTTCAAAGGGGAGGTTTTGGGCCCAGCTGCTGGTTTGGATGGAGCTTTGAATTGTGAAGAAGGCTGAGAGGCTCGAGCAGCCTGCTGTTCTATTCGTGCCTGGATCTTACTGCTGCCCTCAGCTCTGAAACAACAGGAAAAAACAGTCAATGGTGCTGCAGAACTGTGCTCATTTGTTCCAGTAAGATCTTTATTAATATATATCTAATGAGTTTAGATTGAATGTAAGTTTACTTTGCATCCTGTGGAGCTATACGGTTAATTAGGAAAAACTTACACTGCTCTGGTACACAGCATCACCACTGCCTTCCTTGGGAAGCATGCCACGAAGTGACTGCAGAGTGAAACCATTACTAACTGTGCTCCAAATACATATAAGGTTTAGCAATGTCTTGTTCTCTAGTCAGTCAGCAGTAAAGGTTTATAGAGCACCTTTCATCCTGAATGGCTCCAAAGCTCTTCACAAACATTTAGAAATGAAATACAGAGGGATCATATTTATTCATCACTGAAATGCAGCTAATTATTAGAAGATGTACAGCAAGTCTAGCCAGAATTTTACAACAGGAAGTATCATCTTTGATTACATACATTGCATCATCCAATGAAAGTTGGTATATAAAAGTAGAGAATTGTTAACCATATTGATTTATGCTCTTGAAACTATAGGAAGAATTTGTGTGTGAAGAATGGAATTACTCCACTTTGAATTTAAGACTAAATAAAACCACTTTTCTTGCAAAGAGTTCCAAGACCAAGGTGATCTTTAAAGACCAAGGTGATCATAAAACAGTTTTATATGTCATCTGAACGACGTGACCTTTAACAGCCCAGTGCCTTGGAACACTATGTTCATGCACTAATAAGGCACTGAGTCAGAAAAAAGTGTGGCAACTACTGAGTCACTACCAACACTTACAGCAGCTTGGATTTGTTCTTTGGAGATCTCTGACCTAGCTACCAGCCTGATCCTAAGCCTGCATTACTATAGTGAGCTCTCACTCAAAGTTTCTGCAGCTGCAGTAATACAGGCTTTTTTCATATTTTTAAAAAATGTTTACTAACAGCATGCTCTATTAGCCATGGTGTCCAACCGGTTCTGAAGCAGTAGCCACTATAGTGGCTAACACCAGCCACACTCAACCAGTCAAATAGCCACATGTGGCTAGTGTGTTGGACACCATTGCTCTATAGAACTCAACTAACATGCATTCCTCTCTGCAAAAATAACTTGATTCAGAGACTTCAGGTACTTACATATTAGCACTACTCAGAAAAATATTTTATGTGAACGATACACAAATTACACTCTGAAAATGAAGTATGGCTATCAGATCAGTTAGAAGTTCTGATCTCAGCAGTTTTTAGGCAATTGCCCACCATACTATTTATTTCTCCAGAGTTCATTTTTTCAGAATTTTTGCCCATGAAAGGTTTGAAAGGTCTGTTTTATATATTATCATCTTGATGCAGCCATGCTTCCTGACTCTAATTAATATAGATAATTAGACTTCCACAGGAAGTTTCTTGGTCCATTACTTGCAACTTCACCATTCCACTTGACAGGTTATCACGTGCTTCTGCTTCAGAAAGAAATTACTGAAAGCCATCCAGTCTTTTGACCAGCTTCTAAACTCTTATACCATCAACATTGTCTAACCATGAACTACAATAATTACCATTCAATGAGGTAGAATCTACTAATTCTGTACTGTCTGCTATGTACATACAATGGAGATGTCCATAGTTAGGCATGATAATTCACCTCAAAGTCCAGGAAACTCAGTAATTAAACAGTAATAATAAATTTACAAAATGCATGGAAATAGTTAAAGTTAATGTGACTCTCTAGCAAGAATTCATTTTATTAACTGCATGTGCCCCAGTTTTACCTTGTTTTCTTGACCTGAATGCTACTACTAAGTTTTTCCAGCACATATTCCCCAGTGTCATGATTGATAATAAGTACACAGTCCTTCTGATATGGTCTTTTATTTCCTTTAAACACAGTCATTGGTGGAGTTGAACCCTGTGATTAAGGAAAAAGCACACATTCATTTATTTATACTCACACTATACAGATAATTTATACAATAAGTCTCAAGAATATATGCGTGCCTCTGAACAATATCAAGAAACTATCATTTACTTTGGATTCGAAGTGTATCTGCATTTAAAGAAGGGATGAACACATCGTATTACATCCAATTCCTCCTCACTCGCTAGTTATACTATGCTTTTATTCATTTTATATGGCTTTGGCATGATAAACACACATAGCTTTTGGTAACTATCATTTGTAGTTCTACTTTCCATCAGGGTAATAACTGAATTTTATTAGTTTGCCATGACAAATATCAGAAACCTCCCTGATACTTCTACCAGCTCTGAAAATCCTGGGTTTAGCTACTGAATAAAAATCTAGTTATGCATTCAGTAGATCTGTGACATGATGAAATGTATGTGTACCCTACATGTACTTCATTTAAACTGCCTTTATATTTAATCCATCAAATAAAAAGCAACACTTTTGTCTTATGATGCAAATTTCACACACTATACATTAACAATGACTACTTTCATACAATAGCTATATGGATACACAGAAAAGCAAACAGTTCTTACAACTGAAGAAGAGAGTGCTTGCTTCAGAGAACAGAAGGCAATCTTTACACATGTTCTCATGAAGAATCCTGAATTATGGACAGTGCACAAAAGCACAAGCTCCCACATCTATCACTCTTAACGTAGAGAATAAAATGTCTTCACACTTAACCAACTGAAACTAAAATTTTAAACTCTCAGCACTATCAAAAATAAGGTACACGTATAAATCTAAAATAATTATTGACTATTACAGACTGTCTACAATTGGATTCTTCAGAGTTGTTACAATAAGAGAGGTTCCAGTTTGGATAAGATCATATTCTCCTAAAGTAATGTCTTCACGGATATTTACAACATTTCAATACTACTACATTTAGAAACTGAAAAGTAAAAAAGGATTGAAAGTAATACAAAATAAGCTGAAAGTCCTACTCATTCTTGATAGATAAAGAGAAGTCAGACAAACATAAAACACCAATATAGTAGAAACTGCTCTAAGCGTCTATCCCACCATTCCTATTCTGTGGAAAACCTGGAACTTAAAGAAAAGTATAATCTTTGCTGAGAAACAGAGGAGAAACTAAAGTTCCAATGAAGACACAAAAAGTCCCTCTCACATGCTTAAAATTAAACAGGTATGAAAGAGTTTTGAGTACTTAAATGCTATACAACGGAAGCCAAAAACCTACTTTACAGGCTACTCTGTTACAAAGGCCAGAAAAACCCCAACAAGTGAAAGAGATAAAGTTTAACCAGATTATGACAAAACTGATAACTACAACAAGAGACAAAAAATATTCCTCAACAATTATTTGACCATCAAATACAGGCTGGACTTCCCTTGTCGGGGGCGGCCGCCTCAGGTGCCAGACTGTGGGAGGGGGAAAGACTGGCACTAGGACCCAGAGTGTAGAAAATTGTATCTGCTGCTGGTGCATATATAGGTAGCAGAACAGTACCATGAGGAGTAGAATAGGAAGAAGGCAGAATTGAGACCTTTCAAAGTTTTGGCCCAAGCGAGGGGGTATGGGGGCGTCATTTGAGCTCCTCGCCTCAGGTGACAAAATGTTGTGGGCCGACCCTGCTCCAGACCTGACTGGTTCCGAACAAGGGGATTTGCCAGACAAGGGGAGGACCTTCCGAACATGATCCGTACTGCCCTGCTGTCCCTGACTCATAAAACAGTACATTAAAAATAATATCAGAACTGGTATGTAGAAAGGGGATGCACTAGAAATTCATTCACTTCAAATAGGAATATACTTCCCAGTCAAAAGGGAATATTCTAATTCAAAGGCAGCATTACTGGTATTAATTATGCTGCTCTCTGCTCTCAGACTTACTTCAACAAGTTTAGTATATTTTATAGGTTAAGTTGAGTTAACATTAAGAGTGAAGAAGGTAACATTATGTAGAAAACTTTCTTGGGGGCATAAATTAACTGGTGTAAATTGTCAGCTCCAACCTAGATTTATTCAATGGAGGATCTGCCACTTGGATTCCAACGTGATGCCTTTCTACACTAAAACTATCTATGTTTATATATTCATGCTTGCTGGACTGGTAATTAGCATTAGCTTCAGCTAACATACAAATTCAGTTCCAGAGCTCAAGTGTAATTTTTATTTTGTTTCAATACTTATTTATTAAACAGAATTGTGTACAATCATTGGGCCATATTCTTTACTGTCACTTGTCCATCATCCTTGTACAATAAATCATTGCTATATAATTTGTAGAGTGATTGAATTTAACCTCATTGCAATTGAGTAGGAACCCCTGCTAGTTTTTGCAGAGTGAGGGTGCAGAATGCTGTTTTTCTGTCACTGAAGCTGTGCAGAGTTTTACCAAAGGCCTACAATTAGTTTTCTGAAAAATTGGATCTTGCAAGGATAATCAAAGTCACAGACTTAAATGCAAAACTAAAACTTGATGGAAATTAGGTGGGACCCCAGTTAGGATTAAAAATCTTCTTGTACTTCAAAGGGATTAATTATAAGCAAAGTAGATTGGACCTTTACAGAAATAACACTTTACTCCATTTTACAGCTCTCTCTTGGAATTATACACTGAAATGCTAGTACTATAGGGCAGTGCAAACATTCGACTCATTTGTTTTAGCTTCATGATAAAAAAATGAAGGGGATAGATACAAGTCTATTTACACCAGAATATACCTGACTAGCAGACACTAAAACTGCAGGATGAAAATTTGCTATAAAGTCAAATGGCAAATTACATCATAATACAAAGTAAACTTACTGGAATATGTGGCAGTGTAATTGTTACTTCATCTCCCTTACCAACTTGGAGCTCCCCTTCACAAGTTGTGTCTATGGATGCTGGCTTAAAATCATCTGAATAGGAAGATAAACGATATTAAATACATTTCATATCTAAATTGTTCTACAGTGTCCATGGTTTCTCTTTTTCTGAGATAACATCTCCTGCTTTATTTCTGATTAGAAGGAATGTAAAACATGGACCAATGCTACTATTTAAAGAAGGGCTAATGCATAGGCACAATAGGTCTAGTTCTGCAAACACCAGATCCATAAATCATGGTAAGTTTTTAGGCCTTCTTGTTAAGGAAAAGCTTCATTGTGTGACTCAGGTATAGCCAATGCAGTGACATTTGAGTCTGAAGACAGTCTGAAACAAGCAGCCAATGCTTGCCAGGATTACCCGGGTATAGTCTCACATAGTCATTTCTCTGCTTTTGCAGAGTTCTTAGGCATTGTGGTTCCTCCTCTTCTCTGCCTGTGGCACAAAACGGACTAGTCTCTGGGGAGGGCTGTAAAACAATGGTCTAAGTTCAGTTGTTGGGTTTAGTCAGTGGATGTTGGTGGCCTATGAAATACAGGAGTCAAGACTAGATGATTTGGTTACCCCTTCTGGCCTTAAACTTTCTGACTCTAAATAGTGAACTGCTCCACACGTCTCAACAGATTGTTAACTACAAGACTGAGCAATTTGTGGAGGACTTGCCATCATGACCTCAGGACTCTGTCTGACAGAAGGAGAATACTGTGGGCCCAGCATAACCTCACATGCAGACACCCTTTGCTGAGAAAGTCAGGATCTGTAGGCTTCTACCACTACCTCTAATGGGTAATGATTGTCTAGGAAGGAGTACAGGCAGTCCCCGGGTTACGTACAAGATAGGGACTATAGGTTTGTTCTTAAATTGAATCTGTATGTAAGTCGGAACTGGCGTCCAGATTCAGCAGCTGCTGAAACTGATCAGTTTCAACAGCGGCTGAATCTGGAGGCCAGTTCTGGCTTACATACAGATTCAACTTAATAACCCCAGGCATCCCCAAGTCAGCTGCTGCTGAAACTGATCAACAGCTGATTCCAGGAAGCCCGGGGCAGAGGCTTCCTGTAGTCAGCTGGTGGTCAGTTTCAACAGCGGCTGAATCTGGACGCCAGTTCTGACTTACATACAGGACAGCCCAGATGCCCCGTGGCTATCCTGCTGCCCTCGGGCTCCGTGGCTTTGCTCTGCTTTGCTCCCCGTCCCCCTGGTCTGCAGACCAGATGCTTTGCTCTGCTCTGCTCCCCCTGGTCTGCAGACCAGGGGGACGGGGAGCAGAACAGAGCAAAGCGGCGGAGCGCGCGGCCAGCTGACAGCCCAGACACGTCTGCAGACCAGGGGGACGGAGAGCAGAGCAAAGCCGCGGAGCACGCAGCCAGCTGACAGCCCAGACGCGTCTGGGCTGTCCTCTGCCCGCGTGTTCCGCCGCTTTGCTTCCTCTCCCTGCTGGAGACCAGGGAGAGGGAGGGCCCCGTTCGTAACTGCGGATCCGACATAAGTCGGATCCGCGTAACTCGGGGACTGCCTGTACTGCAGAAAGGGACCTAAGGGTCACAGTGGACTACAAGCTAAAGCAAACATGATTCTGGAATGCATTAACACGAGTGTTGTGAGCAAGACATGAAAAGTCATTCTTCCGCTCTCAGTTGGAGTACCGTATCCAGTTCTGGGTACAATATTTCAAGAAAGATGTGGAGAAATTGGAGAACATCTAGAGAAGAGCAACAAAAAATTAAAGGCCTAGAAAACATGAGCTATGAGGGAAAACGGAAAGAATTGTGCTTGTTTAGTTTAGAAAAGAGATGACTGAGAAGGGACATGATAGCAGTTTTCAAGTACAGTAGACTTCCAATAATACGGCACCTTTGGGACCTAGGTGATGCCGGATTATTGGATATGCCGGAGTATTGGGAGGCACTCAGGGGGGGACTGTGACGGGTCTGGAGGGACCCGCACTGCGTCCCGAGGGGAGGGCGGGGAATAGCACAGCAAGGGGCAAACCCTCCGCCGTTTTGCAGGAAGGCAGGGGAAGCCCTGCGCCGCCACCGAGAGTTTCCGGGAGGGGGGCAGGATCCTCACCCCCCAGACTGCAGTAGTTATCGCCGAGCAGGAGGGTAGGAGTGGCACTGCGGGACCAACCCGGCAGCACCCCAGCTGCTCTGCTCTGTCACTTGTCAGTTTAAGCAGCAGCATGGGCAGAGCAGCTGGGGTGCTGCCTGGAGGTGAGCAGGGGGGTGAGTGGTGGCGTTGCGGGATCAACCCAGCAGCACCCCAGCTGCTCTGCTCTGTCACTTGTCAGTTTCAGCAGCGGCAGTGGCAGACTTGGGGAAGGGGCCATGGATCCTGGTCACGTGCCACCTAAGACACTGCATATATGCTAAGAAGCATATAAAACTGTCCAAGTACTATAGAACCTCACAGCCAAGAGATGATGAAAATGAGTTTTTGGATGTTATAAAGGAGAGAAGAATTTTGGTCTATAAGATCTTACAGTGGTATGCCGGAAGGAGGGAAAATCAGTATAACTGATCCCAGGTTAAATTTTCAGGTCCAGTGGTCACAAAAAATATTCTAGTTTAGAAAGTGCATAATCTGATCTGAAGCTATTTCAGACTATGACTACATTCTAAATACTTCAAAAGCTGTAGTTTCTCCTGAAGATATGATCCACTGTCTTCATCCTTTCAGATATTGTCCTTTAAAGTGACTTATAAGCAAGTGAGAATGATACAACCCCAATGTATTTTTAGCTGGATACTTCTAGGACTTCTATCACTAGAAGAGCCTAATTTTGCTCATTTGAGGTAATGGTGGGTATATTTTTGAATCTTTGAATTACAAATCTTTCTCTATATATAAAAAAGATTTTCCTGCTGGATGACAGAATGCTCCTGCTGGGTGACAAAATGACATAATCAGTGTCAACAAGCTCTCTAAGCAAAGCAAAAGTAGCCAGAGAGAGGGGGGTAGGAGAGCGCAGCGAGCAGAGGGTGTAGCCCCCTAGTAAAAACTTGTTTCAAATATGTTATTGCTAGATAAGGCTATCTGCCATTTACAGAGGCGCCCAGGCTCCAGCTCCCACCAGTTAAACATAAATGATAAAACATTCACATCCCTAATAGTAAGAGGCAAAAAAGAGCAAAAGTAGACTATTTTCCCCAACAGAGAAGCTTGAAGCACTCTGAGAAAATAGAATCATAGGATATTAGGACTGGAAGGGACCTCAAGAGGTCATCGACTCCAGTCTTCTGCCCTCATGACAGTACCCAGTACTATAGACCATCCCTGAAAGACATTTATCTAACCTACTCTTAAATATCTCCAGATATGGAGATTCCACAACCTCCCTAGGCAATTTATTCCAGCGTTTAACCACCATTACAGTTAGGAACTTTTCCTAATGTCCAACCTAAACCTCGCTTGCTGCAGTTTAAGCCCATTACTTCTTGTTCTATCCTCAGAGGCCAGGAAGAACAATTTTTCTCCCTCCTCCTTGTGAAACCTTGTCAAACCGCTATCATGTCCCCTCTCAATCTTCTCTTTTACAAACTAAACAAGCTCAGTTCTTTCAGTCTTCCTTCATAGGTCATGTTCTCTAGGCCTTTAATCATTCTTGTTGCTCTTCTCTGGACCTTCTCCAATTTCTCCACATCTGTCTTGAAATGTTGTGTCCAGAACTGGATACAATATTCCAACTGAGGCCTAATCAGTGCAGAGTAGAGCAGAAGAATGACTTCTCCTGTCTTGCTCACAACCCACTTGTTAATGCATCCTAGAATCATGTTTGCTTTTTTTGCAACATCACACTGTTGACTCATATTTAGTTTGTGGTCCACTATAACCCCTACATCACTTTCTGCAGTACTCCTTCCTAGGCAGTCGCTTCCCATTCTGTATGTGTGAAACTGATTGTTCCTTCCTAAGTGGAGCACTTTGCATTTGTCCTTATTAAACTTCATCCCTGTTTACCTCAGACCATTTCCCCAATTTGTCCAGATCATTTTGAATTATGACCCTAACCTCCAAAGCAGTTGCAACCCCTCCCAGCTTTGTGGTATCTGCAAACTTAGCTATCAAACTTGGTATCATCTGAAAACTTTCAAAACTCATCTTCCAGACTGGCTAAATATTACTCATCCAGAGATAGAGGCTTCCTCCTGGAGGGAATAGGGGACAACATGTTGTGCTCTTTACATTGTATTGAAGGATTCTGATAGACATTTCAATAAATCTTAAGAAACTGGGTGGCTGTGGTTTCCCTCTTTCAGACTCTCTCAGGTGAAACCATAGTCCTGCATCTTTCACAGTATAATATTTAAACTGATACATCATCTGATATGACATTCACTAAGAAGCTCGCTGCCCTCTGTGTGCATGCGCTCTCCCCTTCCCATAATTTTGAGTTACTTTCAGATTAACCTCACTTTATTCCCCCCTCCCTCTAAATCTGTAACGGAAAGTTGCTGCTTTCCACAGAACTGGCAAGAACCTAGGAAAGGGGAGCAGAGAGAGTGGAGGGGGAGCTGGTAAGGGGTGTGCGCAAGAGTTGGGGTGGTGGCAGGGGAAACTGGAGAGTGAGGGGCTAGGGCTCAGAGAGGATTTAGGGGAGCTGGGTAGGGGAAGGAGGAAGGGGGGGGGGTAAGGGATGTAAGCAACTAGTTGACTACCGAAAAAGCCTAGGCTTATATCAGAGGCACCAAGGGATGGGGGCGGGTAGCAGGAGCCGTGCTGGGGGCAGCAAACCTAAAAGCCGTTCCCCCAGCACCGTCTCCGCGGAGGGGCAGAGGCAGGCGAGGGTGAAGGTGGGAGCAGGGATGGACGCAGCGCCCACGCCACAGGGTCCCCGCTGCGCCTCTTCCTTCCA